TGTTTCTGATTCATTGACCTCAATTTTGGAAAATTGTTGGAAAACTGGATTTGCTTTCTTGCTGAGGCAGTATTAAAAAAAAAAGGTGTGAGGGACTATGTCTCAGGTATGTAATGTCCTCTAATGGGGCAAGTTAACAGAACGAACATTAATCGGGGACAGGTTTTATCTCAATGTCATTTACAGTTTTATTTATGTGGGGTTTTCTCATTTGTAAATAGGATTTGAAAGGGTGAACACTTAACATTTAAATAAATAGTTTGAACTGGTGCACGGATTTCTTTCAGATCGCTGCAATTCTCCGGAAACGAAAATGTGATTATTATTTGAACAAGCTGCTTCCTGAAATTCTGCAATCAACATCCTTCCTTACAGCAAATGGGAGTCTTTACATTCTGTTTTTCTGCGTTTTAAGGTGATTTGATTATACATTTTTTGACCAAATCAAGAAGGAGGATGAAATATCCTGGTTTCATCTTCCATCACACCCAGGCCTTTACTACTCGCCGACTGCCCCCATGCAAAGGATTCTAACAGTTTTCTTATTTTTACACAATATTCGTTACATTTTTATTTACGGTTCTCTATATCCATTGTTCGCTGTTTGGGAAATGTCATCCCGAAGAGGGGGCACATCAATTTTAATAAATAACAAATCCGTTGAACGCTAATGTAAATGCTTGGTTGGCTTTAAAGCTTTCTCCTGTGTTAGCAAACATGACTTACCCTTATACAGATGCACGCGGTCCTTTGTATTAAAGCAAACCTTTGAAATATAAGGCAGTAAAATTGAAGTTCCTCCTGGAGGTGTTAGAACTATGAATGTTATGAGGTTCTTTGAAGTGTTGTTAAGAGCACTCCTGATGATGGGCCAGAGAGGAGGAAGAAAGCGTACTTAGTACTTTCCACGACAACCTCCCACATTTGTTTCCTAACCTAATCCTCTGCAGACCGTTTTGGGAGACACAAAGCAACTGCCAGGCAAAGGAGGAATCTGAAAATCACTGTCCCCTTTCTTGCTTCAGTACAGGGATGGCGAACCTTTTAGAGACCCGAGTGCCCAAACTGCAACTCAAAACTCACTTATTTATCGCCGGGTGCCAGCTGGGCGTGGCCCACTGGCTGGGCGTGGCTGTGGCCAAGGTGGGCGTGGTCACCTTGATGTTGCTCATGGGGAGGGATGCCTGTGGGGGGACGGGCAGGGCTGGGGGAGATCCAGGGGGTCTCTGGCAGGTGGGGCGGTGGGCAGGAGACTTGTCCTGCGGGGTGAGGCGAGGCAAGGCGAGGCAGGGCGGGGGTGCCATTGTCGCAGGGCAAGGGGCCGGGGCGGCTGCCTGACACTATCGGTCCCCGCACACAGAGGCCAGCGACCCCATGGGGGGTTGACAGTATCCATCAGTAGCCACAGCCTGCCGGCCCCTCGACCGGCGCACTCTGGGGCTCCGCAGCCTGCCGCCAGCAGTTCAGAGAAGCCGCCTCTGAGCTGGATGGACGGCCGACAGTTGAGGAGGCGATGCAGTGGGTCGTGCCCGGGAAAAGGAGAGCATGCGAGGCCAGGAGGGATGGGATGGGGGGGAGGGAAACTAGCCGTGCTGGGATGCATCCGGCCACGTGGGACCTCGGCGAGTTAGCAGGCAGCTGGTTGAAGAGGGACGGTTGCCATCTCTGGGGCATGGTGCGCATGCCCACAGAGAGGGCTCTGAGTGCCGCCTCTGGCATGCGTGCCATAGGTTCGCCACCACTGCTTTAGTAGGAGCATCTGCTGAGTATAGTTCTGCTAACGGGAACCCTTGATCCAAAGTATTTTCAGCCTGCGAATCCCATTTATTTATTTATTATTTAAGAAAATATGACCTTCTTTTCCTGGCCACATTGAATGTAACTAATTCTACCTTTCATTGTTTTAGGCGAATACTGGGAAAATTCTATTTTTGGAGTCCTGGTTTCGGTGCTGCTTTACCGGCATCCTATATAGCCATTCTTATTGAAAGGAAGAGCAGGTATGTGTTTTTACATCCTTTACAAACAGTGGTAGTGACAGATTTTATCTTCCTGGGCTCCAAGATCACCGCAGATGGGGACTGCAGCCAAGAAATTAAAAGATGCTTGCTCCTGGGGAGGAAAGCTATGGCAAATCTAGACAGCATGCTAAAAAGCAGAGACATCACCCTGCCAACAAGAGTGCGTATAGTCAAGGCCATGGTTTTCCCAGTTGCAATGTATGGCTGTGAAAGTTGGACCATAAGAAAGGCTGAGCGCCAAAGAATTGAGGCCTTTGAACTATGGTGCTGGAGAAGACTCCTGCGAGTCCCCTGGACTGCAAGGCATTCAAACCGGTCAGTCCTAGAGGAGATCAACCCCGACTGCTCTTTAGAAGGCCAGATCCTGAAGTTGAAACTCAAGTACTTTGGCCACCTAATGAAAAGGAAGGACTCACTGGAGAAGAGCCTAATGCTGGGAAAGATTGAGGGCAATAGAAGAAGGGGACGACAGAGAATGAGGTGGCTGGATGGAGTCACTGAAGCAGTAGGCGTGAGCTTAAGTGGACTCCAGAAGATGGTAGAGGACAGGAAGGCCTGGAGGAACGTTGTCACGATGGGTCGGACACGACTTTGCAACTAACAATAACAACAACAAACAAACAAACAATTGTTTATGTAATGATGTCTATTCAGTTGTGTCCAACTCAAGATGATTCTGTGGGCCAGGTCTCTCCATGACCTCCAGTCTTTTACTGCTGTTTATGGTGTCAGTTTTCATGATGTCCAGCCACTGTGTTCTTTGACGGCCTGGTTTCCTTTTATGTTTAGGTAATATACTGTATCTCCCACTGGGGTGTGATTCAACCACAGTAATCAATGAACAGATAAAACAGCACTTAAAATCATTCTAACTCATCACACTCAGTATATGCTGCAATATTTTTATGGTCCCCGTGAAAATGTTTATTTGATTGTAGGATTCTAAACCTATCAATTGTCTAACTTTGTAAAGAAGATTATTGGCTTCTGTTCTTGTTCCAGGTGGGGCTTACTCAAATCAATTTTACTTTAATTTACTCATATCAATTCTACAGTTAATAAGACATTGCTACAGGATCAGAGGCAGCATGATTGTGAATATCAGATACTAGGACATACTAAAAGGCAGTTACCATCATGTCCTGTGTGTGTGTAATGCTCTGAAGAATTTGATAAGAAATACAGTATTGAACCAGATAAACTTGCATCAAATGCTTTGTGGAATTTATATACTGGCCTTGTTTTGCTCTGGTTTGAGCCTCAGCTCTCATCTTTATTGGTTTCTGCTTGTACAATTTTTAATGGTTCTTTCCTAATGTTTCAAATTCTTTTACGTTGCACAAGGATACACTACACACAATAAATATATCAAGATGGTATTGCTGGAAATGATGTTAGAGAGATTACAGAACTGGGATTGGTCAATTAAGGTTTAAAGGTGTTAGCGGAAGGGGAGAATTTATGAAGATAGTCACATTCCTAGAGTGGGAAGGGATATACGATCAAAAGATCCTCCCTCTCACTCTTATCTGTCTGATTTAGATAATTCCCTGGAAGGTCTTCTTTGAGAACCGTGGCCTTTTAAAGGAGCACATTTCCAGGGCTATGCGACCATCACCTTCTCGCCTTTTTGATGTGTGATGCATCAGTGCTGCTCGGCTATACATTTCACCGGTCCAGAAATCACTGACACCGCCCTTCGTCTCTGTATCCTGTTGCTCCATTTGTTCTCACCACATAACTGAGGTTAACCACCCACCCTTCTCCAATCACCTGCTTCTCCTGAGGGCTCCTAAAGACATTTCTTTGGAATGAGGCCCTTTGCTTTTCCCCTCCTGCTAGGCTCATGTTGTTCTCATCTCTAGCCGCTCTTTACAGCCGAAGGCGTCACAAGAGAGGGCAAAAGGGATTAGCCGAGAACAGGTGCAGGATTCACGAAGGCCTGTGAGGTTCCTTGAAAGGAGATGGCCCTGGCAAGAAGCTTGGCATATAGAGATCGCCAAGAATTAATGAGGGGAAAAATGGGTGGGCTATCTTTCTCCCCCCTCCTCCTCTGTGGGTGTGATTTGTTCTTGCTCTGCAGGGTGTGTGTGTGTGTGTGTGTCGTCTTATCACTCAAAACACAGGTCTGCTAGCAGGAGGGGAGCTTACCAAACGTGCGGCATCTGTAAATTGTAGGCAATCAACCGCATCATCACCTGAGGACAAAGTAAACCCGAGTCCTTTTTTTTTCTTTCTTTCACCAAAAGCAACTGCAGGGACTTGTGTCGACGCCCAGTTCTCTTCCCTCCCTGCTCCCAGCCTATTTTGGAGGACAAGTCGGAGACAGGTTGCATCCCAAAACGACAATTGAGAAAAGAGTTTGAGCTACTATCTTGAGTTCTGGAAAATATGCTGTGATTGCTTGAGTTGGACCCTTCATTAAAATCCTTGCCGCAGATTCAGCACTGAGGAATAATAATAATAATAATAATGATGATGATGATGATGATAATAAAGTTGGTAGGGACCTTGGAGGTCATCTAGTCCAACCCCCTGCTCAGGCAGGAAACCCTATACCAGTGGTTCTCAACCTTTTTAATGCTGCGACCCCAACCGGTCGTAAGTCGAGGACTAAACCAGTCATAAGTCGAGGACTAAACCAGTCGTAAGTCGACTAAACCGGTTGTAAGTCGAGGACTACCCAACCGGTCGTAAGTCGAGGACTTTCCCTGCCCGGGAGCACCGCGCATGCGTGGTTCCGCCCCCTGCGCCGGCCGAGGCGTAGCTGGCAAGCAGCAGAGACGGAGCAGGCCGACCACCAGCTGGCCCAGCTCAAGGGAGGTAAGGCACCCGCCGGAAAAGGGGGGAAAAATGGCGGACAGCCTTGCTTGGCGACCCCCGTGAAATGGTCGATCGACCCCAAATGGGGTCCCGACCCACAGGTTGAGAACCACTGCCCTATACCATTTCGGACAAATGGCTGTCCAGTCTCTTTTTAAAAACCTCCAGTGCTGGAGCATTCACCGCTTCTGGAGGCAGGTGGTTCCACTGGTTAATTGTTCTAACTGTCAGGAAGTTTCTCCTTAGTTCTAGGTTGCTTCTCTCCTTGATCAGTTTCCATCCGTTGCTTCTTGTCCTGCCTTCAGGCGCTTTGGAAAATAGCTTGACTCCCTCTTCTTTGTGGCGGCCCCTGAGATATTGGAACATGGCTATCATATTCCCCCTCGTCCTTCTCTTCATTAAACTAGACATACCCAATTCCAGCAACCGTTCCTTGTATGTTTTAACCTCCAGTCCCCTAATCATCTTTGTTGCTCTTCTCTGTACTCTTTCTAGAGTCTCAACATCTTGTTTACATCGTGGTGACCAAAACTGGATGTAGTATTCCAAGTGTGGCCTTACCAAGGCATTGTAAAGTGGTATTAACACTTCATAATAGAATAATAGAATAACAAAGTTGGAAGGGACCTTGGAGGTCTTCTAGTCCAACCCCCTGCTCAAGGAGGGCTCAAGGTTGTCTGGCTCAAGACTGACTTAGCCTTCATTCCTTCCCAGGTTGGTAAAATGAGGATCCAGATTGTTGGGGACGATACTCTGACTCTGTAAACCGCTTAGGGAGCGGTTTACACTATGAGGCAGCATATAAGTCTTAAGTGCTGTTCTTACTGCCATTACTATCACGTGGCCATGGGATTCTGTGAACGTTGTAATTGCGAGCCACTCGGCAAGCACCTGGGTTGCAATCAGGTGATTGCAGGGATGGTGCGACAGCTGCAACTACTGCAACTATAAATCCCCTTGCTGAGAACTGTCCTGACTTTGAATGTTTGCTGAGCAAATGGTCCCCGAACAAGGACTCCCTGTATTTACGCAGTTGCTGAAAATAAATGATTTAAATATTTTAAATCATTCCCTAACAATGCAAGCACTAAAGGTTCTTTCTTATCTACCTTGATCTCTTTAAGTATAATGTATCTCCTCTACACAGAGTTCCATTGTTGTATAGTATAGGACGGCGCAGATTGGAACTGGATGCATTTTCCATGAACCAATGCTGGTAGAGCTTTCGTTTGACTCAGGGGTAGCCAACCTCGGCTGTTTTATGACTCGTGGACTTCAACTCCCAGAATTCCTGAGACAGCATGGCTCAGCTTGGAAACCTCTCCCTTTCCCCTCAGCATGGCTGGCTCAGGAATTCTGGGAGTTGAAGTCCACGAGTCATAAAAGATCCGAGGTTGCCTACCCCTGGTCTGACTGAAGAAGAAGCCGATTCAGAAGTTTTCCCTCAATTAGGTTGCAATGGTCCAGGCATTTATACAGATAGTCCTCGATTTACAACCACAATGAGCCCAAAATTTATGTTGCTAAGCGAGACAGCTGTTAAGTGAGCTTTACTCCTTTTTAATGACCTTCCTTCTCACAATTGTTAAGGAAGTTGTTAAGTTAGTAACACGGCTGTTAAATGAATCCGGCTTCCCCATTATCTTTGCTTGACAGAAGGTCGCAAAAGATGATCCCATGCTCCAGGACACTCCAGCCATCATAAATATGAGTCGGTTGCCAAGCATTTTAATTTTGATCACACGACCGTGGAGATGCTACAACATTTGTAGGTGTGAGAAAGGGTCACATGTCACTTTTTCCAGTGCTGTTGTAACCTTGAACGGTCCCTAAATGAACCGTTGTAAGTCAAGGACTACCTGTACTGCAGTTAGAAAGAAGGTGAATTTCCTACCTGCTAAATCGGGGTGGACAAGTTTGGCAACTTTATGACCTGTGGACTTTTAACTCCCGAAATTCCTGAGCCAACCTTGCTGGCTCAGGAATTCTGGGAGTTGAAGTCCACAGGTCATAAAATTGGCATAGTTGCCAGCCCTGCGATAAATGCTGATAACTTCTTGGTTTGAACACCTGCATGATCTGACTCCTTGTGTTCTGGCTGTGCCTCCCCTCATATCAGAAATATTAAAATTCTAAGCTTAGTTATCCCTTTTCTT